TAGTGCCTCAACTCAATTTCATTTGTCTCCAGCGACTAGGTCAGGAATCAGAATACACTAGACGGTGTACAAGAACCCCGGAAGTTGTAGACCACGCACCTGCCAATCAGTAAAGAGCTGTGAAGTGCCTGTCTGGGTCCCTTTTGTGGTACAGCATAACAGTAAACAAAGCGATCGAGATGGATGTAGACGAAGCCATACATTCTGTGTTGGCAACGATTCTCAAGATCAAGGATTTAAAGCTGGAACAAAGAGAATGTTTAGTGAATTTTATCAAGGGGAAAGACGTTATTGCCCTTCTTCCTATGGGATTTGGCGCATTACATATGTCAGAAACAAATAGCAGCGATTGTTTAAATAAAAAAGTACCCGCCTACTGTCAAGTAAATGAAACCTAATGCTGCAAGGTCAGGCAGTTTCCACAAAGTGAAACCAGCTGATAAATCAGGTTATCAATTCTGGGTCCCCCCTCCCATGCTTTTAAATGTATTTATTTATTTATTTATTGTAAAGAATCACTTAATTTTTGGTAAATAGGTAGCGCTACACAACATTTTTTTACCCCGGTTGAGGCGTTGCCACGGTGCGTACAATGCAATTAACTCACAAGCCTTACCAGTGCCTAATGATCCTACAACCAACAATGCTTGCTTTTTTTTCTTTTTTTTTTTTCAACCATGTATATAGAATTTACTCCTGAAGTGTTTAGTTTATTTCACAGGGATACGTTTTTATGTTTACAGCATAAAACAGTGCAATCTATATAAAAGTAATGATAAAAATTACAGTGACATTATATATCTCTCTCCTTCCCTCCCTACTCCCTCTGTGCTTTTAACCTGATATAATTTAGTTGTTGATTAATTGCTGATGCCAAAGTAAATATAAGATGAGTCAGACGAATTAATTAAATTAAGTATTGTAAATATCTTAATTAAAAACAACTTACAGCAGCAGAGATTAATTTGTCATTTATTTTTCAAGGGTACGAATGTATTCAAGACACGACTTCTGTCCCAATCTTAAGTAAATAAAGAGATACAGCACCGTACCAATATTTTGTAAAATTGAGAGCAGAAAAGAATTCTTCAACACAGTTTTGATAAATTCTGATCTTTTATTCCTGCTGTTGCCTCAGTGCTTTACAACTACTGATTTAAAAGAAGGCATCAAAGTCTTTCTGTATTCTCTGCAGTGTGGAGACCTGTCAGTGAGAAAACCCCAGTTCAATCTTCAGCTCAGGGCATTTCGCCTCATGTCATTCCCTTGTCTCTCTCCCTTTATTTGGCTGTCTGCTGCTTCAAATATCGACCAAAGAGACAAAATAAATGAATAAATAAGCATACAGATGGTAAGAGCATGACTATTCAGAAACAATTGCACTTAGATTTCATGCTATTAATTCAAAGTTACACAGGTACACCGGGGCGCTGTCACAGATACACTGGCAAAACGTCTCTCTGGCAAATCAGTAGCTCTAGGACAATTAAAGTCCAGTTTTAAATTAGAATTGAGCAAAGAAGGGCAAAATTAAAGACGCACTATTTAACATTTTCTGTTGAAAGGATTCGCCACCTCGTTATCCTCATGGAGATTTTATTGCTATGCCTTGAATGTTCCACAGTATGGCATTTAAATTGGCATATAGCGTTCAAATTATGTATCTTCATCAAGGCAAGTATGTGACGCCAAGAGGCCAAGTCACAGGTCAGATCTGTGAATGGGCAAAGAATGCATGTTTTTTTTTAGCAATTTAGGTAAGTGATATAGGTACGTGTAATGTTAGACTTTCTAGGTATTGCAATAAAATCTCCATGGACACTAGAACTTGGCCGAGCCTGCACCACAAAAGTTACATAATGATCCAGGACAAAAGGACAAGATTTGACAAAAGTTCCGAGCCAAAACGTGAACACAAAATGACTTTCTTTACATGAACTGCAACCATCCATGTCAAAGTGAACATGTGTGTCAGGGGGCTGAGTTGGCGCGACCACTCCATCTAGTGGCTCGTTCAGATACAAATCTCTGCACTGCACCATCACAGATAAGCCTTATTTAAACATTTGGAGCTTTCTCTCTCATATCTCTTCCTCTTCAGTCTCTACATTGACCATGCATCTGCCTCTCCACATGGGTAATTGATTTGCTAATACACAGTTTATATACACTACCAGCGCTAATATGTGAAAATCAATGAAGCACTGAATAGACCAGACGGCTCTATGCAGTCTGTTTACAATACAAAGCACTGCACCATATTGTGATGAATATGGGTCTTTATTAAGGCATGCTGGGATAATTATGTTTTCTGACCACCTCCTTATGGTATTGCTTTGATTATATCTATCAACTACATAGAGTTGCAGTAACTCAAATGAAAGTAATTCATGCTTAAATAGCCCTAGAATCAGCTTTTTCAAATAATGGATTAAAGTGAAGCTATGGGCTTAACATGTTTAAATGAACCCAGGGAGTGATGTAGAGGAACCAATACCGAGCCAAGGCTAAACCAGGCTAAAAGTAGGTCTTAAATTTGGTCTTAACTTCAATACATTTTACTTTATATGAATTTAAAGTGTCAGGATTATGTTAACGTCACTGGGATTGGGTTAATAGTAAGATGGTATTGTCATGAATTTACATTTGGAAATAATACAATATATTGATTTCCTATGAGGGATAAAAATGGGAAGAGGAGGATTGAGTTTTAACATCATCATGTACTGTATAAAAAGACTTGCCATGAGAGGACTGTTCCAGAATGGATTCAGTATTACTTGAGCAGATATGTGGATCCCATGAGCTCCACTGAATCATTTGGGGGAAATTCTGGCCAAGAAAATTCACTCTGAGCTACTGAACAATCCAGTGTTCTTTAACTGTCTGAAAAAGTGGAAGGATCTGTAGCTACACTAAACAACAGAACAAAGTACTCTGTTTACCAACTCGTATGATCGGGGAGTTTGTCTTGTCAAGGACTTTTTTGATGAAGGAAACAGTCTCAGGTCTTTTGCTCAAGCTCAGACAACGTTTGACCTTCCTAATTTTTTGTTGCTTCCCTTCAAGTCACTTTATCAATACTTACACAAAAACTTTATGTCCGGACACTCCTTTGCTCAGGCCACTTGAGGTTTTTATGAGTACCTTTAAACTGTCAAAGGGTTTTATTTCACGCTGCAAAAGCATTTTACAGTATGGTCGATGGGGTAGGGAAGGTTGTTGAGAAATGGGGGGAAGATTTCTGATGTACTTGTTATATTATGTTGAAGGTGATTGGCAGAAATGTATTGGTGATATCCATTCTGTATTTGTAAGTCTAGAGAAATGCAATTTACAGTTTTCCATAGGCTGCAAAGAACTCCGTATGTTCTGAACAAAATGGACCCTACTGGAGCTTCTGCCTCTCTTAAGTGCTTGCTGTCAACTGCTACTTATATACACTTTTGCACTGTTTGGGCTTGTGTTTCTAAGGAAATAGATGAATATATAAAATTTGTAAGGATAGACGTAGGACAATTAATGTTAGGATTACCAGATAAAAATAAGGATTACTAAAAATTAGGATTACCAGTTACCTAGACTCTTAATAGTTGTCTTTCCTTGGCTATTAAATATATATTAAATTACTGAATTAAGGGCAATTCTTTTATTTATTTTTTTTTTTTTCGGTCACAGGTATGTTTTGACATTAATTCACAGACAGTCATATTTAACACACACAGACCGAAAAGGTGTAGGCTGAAATTTAAGATTATTATGCCTGCCCTTTATTCCTTTGTCAGAGCCTCATCTTGACACCAGTTCATCTTCATAAATACAGGAAGAGGAAACAAACAAATCAGAAACAGTACAACAAAGTACTACAGAACAAACTAAGTATCATAATTCATGTATCTGTCCAGAGTTAAACATTTAAACTTTTTTATAACGTGAAAGAGACTGGTGCACAATTTTAGGTTTTCTGTACAGTTGTTCCAGAGCTCCACCCCTTTAACAGATATGCAAAATTTCATTATGTTTGTTCTGATTTTCTTTTTGATAAACATGGCCGTGCCTCTGAGCTCATATTGGCTCTTTCGGATTTTGAACATATTCTGTAAAGATTTTGACAGGAGATTGTTGTTCACTTTGAACATGATTTTCAGAGTATAAAGGTCGACTCAGAGTTTGAAGGTTTATAAATAACACATTGGTTGATTCATTATAAGCTGATAATGTGATTGCTCTTATTGCCTTTTTTGCAAGGTAAAGATTGGATTTGTATTAGTCTTATATGTATTGCCCCAAATCTCAATACCGTAGGTTGTGTAAGGCATTACCAGCGAGTTGTATATAATAAAAAGACTGTTTTTATCTAGGATATATCTGTATTTGTATATAATTGCGATTCTTCTACAGTTAGAGAGGTATGGTGAGATTTTTAGAGTGCTGCCAATGGAATGGATAAGAGCTAAATTGAAAGGTAAAAATGACCTGTTAATAACAGATACATGACAGTCCCTTATAAACTATTTGACTAAACATCTGGTTCTGACTATTATTAAAGAAGGCACTATAGGTTAAGTTGGTCATGGTTTGTTGAAAGTATTGTTTTATCTGTACTATGCACATTTTCGTGGTCTGCTCAGTCTTGTTTATTTTGGTGTTTTTGTCAGTTAGTGGAAATGCAAAAGTATTATTATAAAAAAAAAATGAGAATCCTAACAACTAACCACTAACTAGGACATCCCAGAACTACTCAACTAGACTATAAGTTCGGACAAACCCATGTCTAAACAAAAGAAGGGCACTAGAGTAATTTATAGTAATGAAAGAAACATGACTTAAAGAAAAAACAATCCAGTGCTTACAGAGTTATCGATATTCATTATAACTTTATTTACAAGTATATAGTATCATATAGAAAACATTAAAGCAGAATGAATCCAGTTTACATTTCACATTTTGGTACCTTAACCAGTTATAAGTAAAAGTAGTCAGTGTCATTCAGTGTTTATGTGTTTGTCAATAAATACATTGTTCAGTGATTTCAGTGGAATGATTTTCAATGAGGTAGTTATTTGGCTCAATTTTTTCACCAAGCTCCTTCATAAAACGCAAATACAAAAACAAATCTTTTTTTTTTCTTCATCAAATTAAGGTTGCTTTGAACCAAAGCTTTTTAAGGCACCTAAATTGACTAATACTGTTGCCGTACGACTAAAAAATCTGTGAATAATCGTTCTGGTGCCTCATTATTATTATTATTAAAAAGGGTTTGACATTGATAAAGTGCTCAATTGTAAATGGTTCGAACAAGAAAAATACGCTCTCTTTTCAACTTACAAGTGTTGTCAAAACTGTTTCTTAAAAGTACCATTTTAAAGCAGTTTAACAAGACATCATCAGCAACAAAGATGACAGCAAACCTAAGAAATTAAGATAAAGCTGCAGCTAAAACAAAGCCCTGAATCTGCTTCTTTCACAGAGAAGTCATTCAGAGTTCAAACCACAAAGCAAAAGTGTCCTTCATATACAGTAACTTTGAATCCAGCAAAGGAAGGTAAACACGGCAATATGCCATACAACTGGTATAGAGCAAGTCACAGACTTAGTTCAGTACAGGTTTTCTTCAGTCAGTCCATCTGAAAAGAGAATAAAAGAGAAGCATTAGTGGATTCTTGAGATGGAAATATAAGTAGATATATTCAAATGACTCTTCATAATGTGATTCTAAATTGGCCCTTTTGAATGAGTTTGAATGGCTGTCTGTCTGTCCATGTCCTACTCCTATCTATTTCTCAGAATGATAAAAAGCAATTAACAATAAAAAATATACATCTTTTAAGTGGGGAAAATGTCTGCAAAATGGGAAGTGGAAACCCTTGAATAAGTTACAAGTGAATTCTAGTCACCCATGATCCCTATCAGGAATAAGCAGTAAATGAATGAAGACATTATAGCACATTTAAGATCGTAATTGTATCATTTATGTCTTGTGATTGCAAAGACTGAGGTGTAGTTTGTATTATTATGTATGCAATCTGACACCAAAGGGCATAAGGCTTGGCCCAGTGTTGGGGACAGTTGCTACATTTGTTAAATTACATTACATGGCTTAAAATCAACCTCCAAAAAGTAACTTGTAGTGTGAGTAGTATTTTTAGTAATATTTTCACTCTCAGTTTTTACCCATGTATCAATTGTATTTTATTTAGCTCTACTCTTTCTAGTTCAAGTGAATTCTCAGTGCAGGTATGAAAGAGCTCTTCTCAGCGGGTGGGACACGTACCTTGCTGAAGGCTACTGAGGATGTAGTGGTTGAGTTGATGCAACCCATTGTTTTGATCCATGTTTATTCTGCCTGGTGTGAGCTGATCTGCAGGCTCTCTCATGTCCGTGGAAGCATCCAGGGGTGTGAAGGGCTGCTGCATTTGACAAGACATACTCCTACTATTGTTCTTCATGGTGACCAAATCCAAATCGTTTAAGATGCTGTCAAATATACAGTCATCCAGGACGGGCTCAGATTTAAACCCAGAGGAGTGATTAGTGAGGTGAGGGAAAGTACAAGGTGACAGTTGAGTGCTCACAATTGACATTTGGGTGTTTTGAATGGGGCTCAAAGTGCGAAACATATCAAAGCTGTTCGCCAAGGAGGATATCTGCTGAGCCAGTATACTTATCTCCTCTCTCTCCCTCTCACTGTACTCAAAAGTCCCTTGGGAAGTTGGCGACTGGCTTGGAGTGAGCAGATTTGGATGTATGGGTAAAGCATGATCCGGAACATGCTGGACAACGCTGCCCCCTTGTGGTTGCTCTGACAGGCTGTAGTCATCCTGATGCAGGGTACACTCCAGTGGGCTTTCACATGACACAGAGAGGCAATCTGGAACCAATCGGGCGTCAGATGTACAAGCTGCGAAGTCGTCATAGGAGGGGGACAGAGAAGAGGACGAGAGGGGGGACGGGGCAGGCAGAGAACTCAAAGAAGCGTGGTCTAATGGTTGTACTGGAGATAAGGACTGGGGCGACTGAGATGGCGATTGCCCGCACATAGGGGGCGCTGGTGGGAAGGTGAAATAAGATGGAGATGCTTCAGGGGAAGAGAAGACATCCATTAGGAACTCATGACTGAAGGAGGAGCTAGAGGAGCTGGGGGTGTATGGAGGAGTGAACATGTTAGGGTCACATTTAGGACCGGGGGAGCAGTCTTCTTGCTTCAAATCGCACGGAACAAAAGTTTGGTCTATCCACGAGTCTCGTCTCCTCCTTCTGGCGCAGGGCTCGTCTCCTTGGCTACTGCATGTCCGCTGCCTCTTTAAACATTTACTCGTTTTGTGATTTGAAGTTGTTGGCTGTGCAGTGGAATCTGATGGTCCAGAAACTTCATTGCTGATTTTCTGTTGGAGGAACCTTGCCTCTGTCTCACTACAAGAGAAAAGTGAATGTTTAGACAAGGTTTAGATGAAGTGCATTGCGTAGGTTAAAATTAAAGGTGTATTTTGTAACATTTTGGGGGTCTCTTACCTGCTTGTCTCTATTGAAATGTTATTGATTTGTCTGAATATGAATGTATTAAACTCCACATGTTTTTATTGCTCAAAATACCTTGAAAAAAAATGCAGCTTTGTGTAGCTTTTCCACAGATCTGACCTGAAACATGACCTGGTCTCCATGGAGATAGATTAAGTCTATAGAAGTACTATGGAATATTCTTGGCAAAACAATAACATCTTCCCAGAGACAAGTAGGCGATGAAAAACTACCTAGAAAATCTTTAATACTGCACAATTAAAGCTGTTTTCATGCAAACCACTTGAAGCAAGCTCGTAAAACTTTATAGTGTTGCCATGGTTACTTTAAAGACCTTGGCCCATTGTACACTATGCTGCTCATGTACCATACAGCTGCAGCAGTCCCTTAGTCACACTGACAGTTGCTTGAGGCGAAGTGTGTTTTACCTGATGATGTAGTTAGTGCAGCTGATGCTCTGAGGCTCCTTGTTAGCTCTGATATAGATCCAGACCCAGGACAGGTCTTTACACTGGAGTCTAAGCACCATCTGCAGCTGAGAACCATCATCTGCCTGCACTGGAGACAACACACAGGTACAGTGAAAACCTGACTGCGAAGAATACACAATGCACATTCAAATTAGACATAAAATGGAAAAAAATGTGGTGGAAAATTAGTTTTGAGTGGATTCGTTGGGTACTTTTTGAGCAGATTTTACACGTACTTATATTTTAGTCAAATTCAGGTCATTATTTAGTCAAAGTCAAAATCAGAGTGAACTTTACTGTCAATTCCACATTACACAGGGGGATTGAAAAACTCCAAAACTCTAAATGTGCAATTAAAAACTAAACATACCACACACAGACACGAAATGTATATAGACATCAGTAATAAATAAAAAAAATAAAGACAAAATATACAGATAGACAGACAGAAAAGGACATATACATTTCCACAAAAAAAGGATGAGGTAGCATTTTTGGTATATATGAAGGTGCAATATATAAAGTGCAGAGTGTTGTCATAGCAGCATGGATATAGGAATGTATTATGTTGTTCTATTTGTACCTAGTTAGGCTAAATTTTGAAATAATACGAGTTACTGAGTACAGCCCAATCTATGGCTGTCTCACTGCTGTCTTTACTCGTTTCTAAAACAAAAAAATTGCATGCTGTGATTGTCTAGAGCACCTGTAGCGTGGGAGTTACACGTAGCTCTCTACCCCATTCCAAGTAGCTCGCCAAGGGATTTCTGAATTATACGTATTGTGCTGAATAAGTAAAATTAGCACTGTAAATCTATCATTTAAATGCCCAATTTTGTGCACTAATAAATGAATAATGGTTTATATTTTATAGGTATATATAGCTGTCCCCAATCTAAGGCTTTGACTCATATATACTCAATTTCTTGCATCTGTTAAAATAAGTAGCTCTTTGGCATTTTTATTTTGTAAAGGTAGCTCAATGGAGGAAAAAGGCTGGAGACCCTTGGGCTAGAGCTCTAAAATACTACTACTAACAACAAGTACTTTGAGTAATCCTCTGCTGTGTATCAGTCCAAAAAGCAGAAATGAATCTTTAATATTCTGCAATTCAGCAACCACGACTGTACAATCTCTTCCCTAGGATATTCTAAAGAAAAAAAATTATTTTCTTCATTACAATAAAACAAGATTTGCAAATGCCTAATGGAAAAATGACTGTGCCTCCGAACAATTAGTCTTCAATGAGGCTCATATACAGCTTGGTTAATTACAGAAAGCCTGTTGCCGTTATAAATAATGAGTTTCAAAAGGCTCACTAAGAAACTATTACAGCTTGTTGGCTATTTAATGTCCCATAAAAAACAAAAAATATGAGTAGTTTTTGTTTACCGCTGACTTTAATGCCAGGGTCATTAACTTTAATATTACTGTTTTTGGTTCTGTGGAGAGGGCTGGAAACTTACCTAAAGTTTTATGGCATTCTGCACTCAGAGAAAGATCTTCAGGATGCATGAGGCTGTACCATGATCTGGTTGCTAATTCTTCGGATGAGTAACCAAGATAATACAAAACACTGAAACAAAGAAATAGAAATAAAATAGATATCAGTCATCAGATTTCAGATTTTTCCACGTATTTGTGCAAATTTTGTCTTGCTGCAGTACACATATACAGTGGCGGAGTTAGCAATTTGGGGGCCCTAGGTGAATTTAAGTATGGGGCTCTCACTATTATGCGCTTTTTTTATTGTCTGTTTTTCCCCATTGTTCTTGAGACATGCACATCTGTATTTATTTGAATTATGGTGGATTGGAAACTTGTCTTATTAGTTCAGTGGCCTCCTCGATAACAGAACTGAAAGTAGTTTTATTTTTTTGCTAGTACAATTACATTTTGTTTACATCCATTACATATGATTATTTATTTTTTCTTATGATTATTGTTTAAAGGTAAACTACTCTAATTTAATGTCATATTGAGAGAAAATCAAATTTCTCTGAGGCCTCGGCCATTAGTGTCACTGAGAGCAATTGGATGGGGGCCCCTCCAGGTTTGAGGGCCCTAAGCAGCCGCCTACATTTGCCTAATGGTAGCGCCGCCTCTGCAGATATGTTGTATAAGCATTTCTCGAGGTCAAAGTAAGTCCACCGTGTACTGTCTGCATCTTATTAAAAGTGCTTTAATATATGACGGTCACGAAGTGTGGTTAGTTTAAACGTAACAGCAAAAGTCCGCTCTGGTTTCACAAAGTTTAGGATACTTGGAAAGCATAGGGTAAGTGAGGAGGAATAACATCTCTATGAAGAAATCAAGTAGTGTTCCATCCACCAGAAAAGTTACATAGTGCACCTTTTAAAAGATCTCAAGATATTACTTTAAAACAGTTGCATTTACTTAAACATACCTGTCTGACACTTGGTTGAAGCTCATGTCCAGTCTGTGGAGGGTGTTAAATGAATGGCAGAACTGGGAGTTGTCAGTCCTGAGGCGGTCCACTGTGGGGGTGCAGAGGGCCACGAACAGGGGCTCCGTGACTGGACGAGAAGAGGAAGAGGGCACTCCAGAGGGGAGAGGGAAGTAGAGGAAACTGCCCTGTACCAGCATCGAACCGCAGCCGCCATTTTGGAGCTTGAAGGCTTTGGAGGTTTGCATCGAACAAACAAAACTCCTCTCTGAAGAAACAGAAAGACAGAATTAAATATTTGCAGATTTAAGAAAAGAAAGTACTGTACAAATACTAAGCCATAATTTTCACTGAAATATTACAGAGCAGTTTTCATCAAAGTTTTCACAACAAGTACTAACTTATAATATATTTTGCCACGAAGAATAAACCAACTTTATCTGTCCTAAAACAAGATATTAATGGGACTAAAAATGCACTAAATTAAAGGCGCATTATTTTACTTTTTCGATGGAGGGTCTGCCAGTTTGTCTCAGTGAATATGTTCTTTTTTATCCATAATGTTCCTCAGTATGGCATTAAACTGGTGTATCTCCAAGAGTCTAAATATGTGATGCCACCAAAGCGCCACTAATTTAATAAATGCAACATAAATAAACTCCATAAGCAGGCAGCAAACTCTCCACCAGAAATGTTACATGATATATCTTTAAGCCCAATCAGGTCTAAGGATGTAACGATATCATCACGATATGCATCTCACGGTACGATATTTATTGCGATATTTTGAAGAGGCTGATGTAATTGTAGATAAGATGCTGTTTTGCTTTTAAAATACCTTGACAAGATTTTGGTGTGAATTATTTCCATCATAATCCAACGAATTAGATTAAAAAACATATTTCTTCATGTTGTCTGCACTGAAATGAATCATGGGATATGTAGTTCCCGATGTTTTTTAGCTATTGCTGCTGTAAAACCATGCATTTAAGCAAAGGAACTTGTGAGTCGATATATTGTGACGCCCCGTGATATTATTGTGAGACATTTGACGATACGATATCATGATGTTTCGGTTATTGTTACATCCCTAATCAGAACAAAAAGAAATCCAACATTTAATCCAGTGAACAGAATAATTTATGATATGAGTACTGTGCCTCAAAACACTGTTAATCATTTTCTTCCACTTATTTTAGAGTTAATGAGACTGGAGCCTGTCCCAGAGTGTATGCACCATGGGAGAGGCACATCCCAGACAGTAGAAAGCTACATCTTGCCAACTAATTACTAAAGTTCTTCAATTGAAATGAGACCCATGTTTTGATACGACCATTATTACCTGGTGAAGATTTGCTGTCGAAGTCCAGATTTGATTTCACAACATCAATGTCTGAGCGCTCCACCATGTCAAACAGAGAGTCTCCCTGAAGAAGGTCCACCTAAAATATTCAAAACCCCATTAGCATTACACATTCAGTTGAGATTGAGTAGGCAAGGTACTACTGAATAAAATGACTCTATAAGAAACAAAATGATAGGCTGTGATTACATTTAGAAGTATAATTTATTCAAAAACTGTAACAGACATAGTAACAATATCATAATAATATTAATAATACTCAGTGTTGGGGAGTAACAGATTACATGTACTGGAGTTATGTAATCAGACTACAAATTATGAGTAACTGTATTACACACACACCCCCCCCCCATCCCTTTTTTTTGTTTTGTTTTTGTTTTTGTTTTTGTCAGTAATTCCACTAGTTTCATTGCCAGAAAATAAACCAGGTCTAAACCAGGACTAAAACCAGGACTATACTAGATTTAACCAGGACTAAACCAGGACTAAAACCAGGTCTAAACTAGATCTAAACCGGGTCTAAACCAGGACTAAAACCAACTCTAAACTAGATCTAAACTAGATCTAAAACAGGTCTAAAACCAGGTCTAAAACCAGGTCTAAAACCAGGTCTAAAACCAGGTCTAAAACCAGGTCTAAAACCAGGACTAAAACCAGGACTAAACCAGGTCTAAACCATGCTGCGTGGACATGTCTCCTCATCTTCTATCAATAATATTTTTGATTTGGTTAAGTAAAGTCTGGGCTTTTATTGTCTTTTAGCAGACAAAACATCTTATGTTACAATTTCCTAGTCTTTGCTTCTCTGCAGCAAATCAAGTAATCCAAAGTATTCAGATTACGTTACTCACTTTAAGTAATTTAATGGATTCCATTACAAACTACATTCTGGGGTATGTAATCTGTAATCTGTAGGGGAATACATTTTAAAAGTAACCTTCCCAACACTGATAATACTGTATGTCTATACTCCAACTTTCTTGTATCCATGGGTTTCACCCTCCTGTTTATAGGTGCCATTTTGAGTACTTTTCTCCATAAGATACAGTAATATAGGACAGAATATTTTGTTTTGGGTTCATAATTGTTGCGGCAAAAGTGCATTTTTCATCACTCTGAAAACCATGGATAGTGTTTTCCTCTAGGCTTTCAAACATAAAACATTTCAAACCAAAGAGCAAACTCAAATCTCCAGAGTTTACGTTTCTACATTCAATAAAAGCTTCTTGTACAACTATTACAATGATTTCAAAACATCAGTTCTACAGCTCAGAAAACGTACTTGATCTAAATCTTAAGTTACATTGTGCAAACCTCTCACTCACCATAGAAATCCCCAAATATTCCACCACGTTTTCGGACACGCAGACCAGCCTCCCCTGGGCCGTGGTGACCAAGACGAAGCCGTGAAGCGCTTGCAAAAAGGCCTCACAAGAAAGGGAACATTTTGATTCCTCCTTCGACGCCAATCCTTCGGGGAGGCAGAGAGAAAGTTCATTGTTATCTTGACTTTACATTTTGTAGCTTGTCACTGCTGAAAGAACCCCCTAAAGCGTTGCTAACTTTAGAAGCGTTGCATTATTTAAAGTTTGACAGTTTGTCCCGACTTTAAAAGTAGAAACTTTGAAATAACTTACCTCGAAAAAGCACTGACTTCTTAATGTAGGTACAAATAGCTGCCATGGAGTGTAAGTAGGAGAGGCGGTCCTGGTCGTCGGATGTGATTGGTAAAAGAGCGCGCATGTTCCTGATTTCATTGTTGATTTGGTCCCTTCTGGCTTTAGATGCTCCTTTGGTTGATCTATGAGAAGACATTGTTAAAAAAACAATCAACAAAAATCACAGTACTTCCAATACAAATTTAATTCATTGCAATAGCTCGCACTGATTCAATCCAAAAAATATCTTCTAATATCTTCTTTAATACTAGTGTGCTGCTAAGCCAGTGTCCATTTGAGTCCATTCTTTCAAAGCTGTGGGTTTTATAGCCAGTGCTGGGAGTTCAGAGAGAGGGGTGGAACAAAAACAAAATGACACACACATTAAGAGGAGGAGTTAAGCTGTTGTTTGCCCAAATAGAGCAGGAGGCATCACAGCATCCCAAACCACGTCACTATGACAACAGAAAATACAGCCGCAAAAGGGGAGATGAATCAGGCTAAATAAAGATGAGCGTCTAAATAAAGATGAGCTAAAACTGTGCATGATTTGGGTTCTATATTTGAAGATTGTTACTAAAAACATTTGCTAATGTCCTTGTTTATTTGGACAGATGACAAAACGACAAACTAGACTACATTTTAGACTGCATGTCATGTTATGTTATGGTGTTGTGGATTGATAAACGTTTTTGCAATGTGGGATTTTACTAGGCTGCCCATTGTTTTAAGAGGGATGAAAATGAGCATGAGCAATGTTACCAGCTTTTACCAGCAGTGGAATGGTTAAAAGTCCTCAAAATGGCGCCTATATGCAGGAAGCTGAAATCCAGAACCATATACAATAATATAATTTTGCACACTCATTGCAAAGGGTACATTTTGTTGTTTTCTGAATCAATAACCACATAAATAAAGCAGAAAGGAAAAGCATGGGTAAAAATATAAAGTGGATAAAGTGAAGTTTCAGTGTCTGGCACTCTGACCTGACAAAAAAATAAATAAATAAATAACTTCTTTACTATACTTCAAACCAATTCTCTCCTTAGTCTTTCATAAAATTTTGGGTAGGGTGACCAGACGTTCCTGTTTACCTGGGTCACTCCCAGTTTTCAGCCTTATGTCCCCTGTCCCAGCAGATTTATCCAAAACCAGTGATTTGTCCCAGTTTTATACAACAAATGTCCCAGGTGTCCCTATTTTTGACCAATCTGACACCTGCCATCAGTAAAAAGAGGCATAAACTGACATTTGTTTAGTTAAACTACAGAAAAGCTGCTTAAAAATGACCAAAACACACAAAAAAATGGGACTATACTGACTCACATTAGTGCCGAGTGCAGAATAATTTAGCTTAATTACGTACTAGTTTCACAATTTTATTATTATCAACCAACCCAAACCAGGGATATTGCAGTTTTTTAATTTTGAAAATCTGGTCCCCCTAATTTTGGGGAAACACAAAAACATATTTAGGCCTAATGAAATGATCTCAAATTGGAAATTAGCCTCACAGCGTAAATGCAATCACTGAACGTAATCTCACGCACCGCAGCCACAGCCAGGAGCCCCTCAGTTCAGCCACATCAGGACGTAAAACTTGAAAAGAAAAGTTTATGAAAAGTGAACTCACCTGAACCTCCTGCAGAAAGCTGAAGATCGCTGGTCCTCGCTCAGGTGGTGCGACGTACACGGCGTCCTGACGTAACACTGGCACGCGTTACACCAAAGAGTCATTTTTATATCTCTGGAAATTCATCAATGAAGTAAAGCAGAAAGTTCTAGTAAGTCTCAAAATATAATGACGCCAATGCTACTTAAAAATATGCCCACATAAAATTAATTTAACTGCGCATTTAACTTCTAACTTTGCGCGTAAAAGTGGTAGCGGTCTTGGCTCATCACCGCTACGGATCTATAATGATAGTTCTCTGATCACCACAGCCCGCATGAGCAGCGCCTTCCCCGGGCTCTGATAGACTTGTGTCCGCCTGAGTCCCGGCTGTCCCTCCTTTTATAGCCAAAAGCCGACACCTCTCGTCCACAGAGCCGCGGGGAGCTGGATAAGAGCGCAGAGGAGGCAGGGAAACAAAACGGGAGGATGTTACTGTTATGACGCGGGGTATTCTTGGTGAAGCGGACTAAAAATAGCAGTTTTACGACAGGCGCAGGTTGGGAGGGTGGGAGACACTGCGGAGGTGGCGTTATGACATAAAAAAGTTTGATGATGTAACAGACGAAATATCCCTCTCAAATATTAGGCGATAAGTTTAAGTCTTAATGCATGGAGAAAAAGATATTGCACTAATACAGAAGTGGACCATTATGATTGTCTATCCTTGGTCATTCTGTTATTTGTCAAAGTGTCCATGTTTCAAGCCTTTCCTAATTTAAATTAGTCAGTTTAGCCGATGTAGTTTTACCTTAACATTAGCTCCATGCATATTACAAAACCACTGTATTAAACAAAAATAGGCATTTTTGTCTAGCTTTGATCATTTTGAATGTTATTACACTTTCATTTGCTCAGTTATTTAGAATGATTACTGTAATTTTAACTACTGTGTATAGACACTGTAATTTCCTTAATGGATAAATATAATACAGTGGCTTGTGATGCATTTGTTTTTCTAATCTTCACATCAGTTTCATGTAGGGATGTAACAATAACCGAAATATCGTGATATTGTATCATCAAAGTTCTCACAATAATATCGTGGGCCATCATAATATATCGAATTACAAGTCTTTTTGTGTAAATGAAGAGTTACGGTGCAGCAATAGCTTTAAAAAGGCAGAGGGAACTACATAGACCATGATCCTTTGCTCTATTTCATTGTAGACCACATGACGAAATAACACTTCTAAGTACTTTTAAGTGTTAGTTCTTTGGATTAAGTCTTGTCAAGGCATTTTAAGAGAAAAACGAAGCATATTAATCAGTTTTTTCCACAAAATATCTCAATAAATAGCGTACAGTGAAATGTATATTGTGAAAATATCATACAGAGAGATTTGGATATTGCTACATCCCTAATTGTGAGCACAATATCGCAATAAATATCGTACCATGAGGTTCATACCGTGATGATATCGTATTGTGAGACTTGGTTATCGTTACACGCCTAGTTTCATGTCTTCTCAGGGAAATTTGTCCACTGCATTTGACCCATCCATCATCATTTGACGCATCCTGTCAGGAGCAGAGGGTGCCACGGTGCAACACCCAGAGAAACATCTCCAGATCTTGAGCTAAGTTTGTTCAGGGCTACCTTAGCGGGAGGATTTTGTGGATGCTTTGGGTTGATGGGGGAAAGCGGAAACCCACTCAGGCACAGAGAAAAACAAACACCGCACAGAAAGACAGAACCTTCCTACTGTGAGACAAGAGTGCTGGCCATTCAAGTGTGCCACTAAGTGATGCGGTGGTCCATGCACAACACACGTGCTAATGTTGCTAAGTTGTTTTTTAAAGTTGGTTTAGTCCCTGTTACCTCAGTACTGATTGCACCTTCAAAACTAAGCAGTGTTTCTATAAATGTAATTTAGTTGTTGAATGACAATGATAATAACGTCTTGAATCAGAATCTAGATATAGTTTCATTGAAATGTTTTATGCAACTTTATTTCCCAACTAAGAGGGCAGAATTTTGGACTATTTGTCATTTGTCATTGTTTTCTTGGTTAGGGCGCAGTCATAAGTCCAGATTTGGTGCTGGTTTCACTTTGTTTAGTTTAGTGATGTAGTGTGTGTGCAAATGAACTCACTCTATCAATCCTAATACAGATAAGGCAATCAAGTGCATCTTATTAATTAAAAGAAAGTGCATGAAGTGACATTGTGACATTTATTCAGTGTGGTCTCGAAGAGGCGTCTTTCTAATTGTATTCGCAGCCTGATGCATCATTGTTTCATTTGTGAGACTTTGACGACATTTGTCTTTGAACTGTGCATGTGTGAGTGTGAGTCACTCCAATCAGAGTTCTGCTGGGGGAGAGAGAGGTCCCGGCTCACGGACTAAATTAGGACTCAGAGCAGATGAAACGATTATATTGTGCATCAGAAAACATGACGAATGCAAAGCAGGAGTTTAGAGGCGCGCACTTCAGTTCGGGTCAAAACTTCAGATTAAGGGCAATATATTACTACTTAGTGAGAAAATAAGAACGCATAAACTCTGAAGCGCATTATTCATTTAGAAATTTGGTCCATAACTCACAATATAAAAGATTAAAGTCTATCAAGTCCGGCCATGAGCACATTTACCCGTGTCCAGTAGAGCATTATTTCCCCTTTTTGCAACTAGCGAAAAACAGATTTCAGGTTTAAATATGTTTATATACTATTTTCTGCCATACAACTTTTTTATTGTGAAAATTCCCAGTAATTCAAAGACATTTTGATAGGTTAAGAGGAGATTCCATATATTTCTGAGCTGCTGGCCACCTCAGTTGTCCTCAGTTTGAACTCTTGTAATATCACATGAACCTTACCCAGTTGGACCATCATAGAAATTATTTATGCGAGAAAGTAATTTGAATGTTTACAAATGTTTAATTTTATTTTTTGTTCATTATTAGTCTTTTCATTCAACAGGAAATCACAGATTCGGACCCTCATCCAGTCTGGAGCGACAGTAACTCAGTTGGTAGAGTCTTTTCTACAGATCTGAAGGTTGGTGGTTCGACTTCTGCTCTTGACATAAACATCATTGGTTGAGGAGTCAGATCCACTTACCCACAGGGCTGGTAGTGTAATTCCAGCTCCCACAGATGCATTTTGCTGTTGTGTCCTTGGGCAAGAGAACTCACATCTTTGTACACTGGTGTAGAAAGTGTGTGTGAATGGATGAGTGGTCCCTTGAAGGTGGAAAAGCGCTATATTAATAAACAGACGCGACACCATAGTTGTATTTGGATATTTTAGCTGCATTTGAATATATTTTGTTGTATCTTGTTTTCAATCTAACTTTGGTTCAGCCTCATTAAACCAAAGTTCCTATCTGGTTGACTACTTCATTTATCATGGAAGACACTCATTGAAAAAGTGAAGTCTCTTAAAGGTAAAAGAAACTACTGGATTAACTTCCACCACCTCATACATTTGTTTTGGGACTGAAATCCAAACATCCAATTTACTTCTTTTTTGTTTTGCTCCACTTTAATTTGAGAAGTGTTTCAACTCTCTAAGGCACAGTGCTTCTAAATACCTCTTGGCCAGAAAATCCCCAATTTACCTTCTGTGGTTGCCGTCGCGATGCTGGAGGCCACGAACTCGAACTTGAGTGAAGGGGGGATTGGACATTGGATAGTGGCGACAAGACAAAACAATTTACTCAGAACAAATCTCCCAAGTCTGAAACTCAAGGGCCGGTGGGACTGTCTGAGTGGGCAGTTGAAATTGGAGTGTTATAAACCAAATGTCTCTGGTGTTGTTGAACGTGGTCGGCTCCAGGACCAGACAGAGCAGCCCGGAGCGCGTCCCCGTTTCCTGTGTCCCGTTTGGGGATGGAGGAGCAGGCGGGACAGGCTGTCTCTGGAGCCCCTCTCTGTGCGGGGCCTGTGTCTGTGGGCTGCACTTAACACTAGAGATAACATTGACTTTATAGCACAGGGCCGCTGACAGACAGGAGCAAACTGCCAGACACTGCAACTGCTGCTGCTGCTACTGCGCCTGTGTCATATGAGGGAAAACACAATAGATTATAACTACAGTGTGTTAAAGGTGCACTGTGTAACTTTGCTTTGTCTAGAATGGTTCACAGTATGACATTAAACCTTTGTATCTTCATGGAGACCAAACTAGACCAAGTTACAGGTCAGATCTGTAGAGAGGCAACCCCGTTCACAGTCAGAATGCCTGTTTTTCTAGGTATTTTTGAGCTATAAACCATTGTTTCCCAAACTGTTTTTCTAGAGACCCATATTTTAAGTCACAAACCTCCGCGACCCAGTTAGAAATTATTCGTAAATCGCAAAATAAAGGTGGATTTGACCATTATTGAACATTAACGAGGATATTTTATTGTTGAATGAGTGATCATGTCTTTCTGAACAGTTAGTATTACTCGAGTTTTAAACAATAAAAAACAGTAATTGAACCAACAATAAAAGGATCCATAAGTCGCCTATTTGCACATTAAACATAGCCCATTTCTTTTTCTTTTCAATATTCAGTTGAACCAGAAATATTGGAACAAAGATTGGAACAAAAGATTAGAATTTATTCAAACATGTCTTAATATTTCAACATTTTAACCCTCTCCAGGCAGGAGACAACAGCTAAATTCCAATTACCTACTTACTCCACATCCATATTTTATGAGCTTTTTTTACTCAGGAGCCTTTTCTCCCATCCATGCTGATAAACATGGACGATGCAGACTGTGCAAGAATGGCTACACACAAACAGCCTGCCATAAGTGCAAAATACTTTTTTTGTTTACAAAGGATAAAAAAGTCAGGATTGTATATTACTACCCCATATTATAATTTTCCCCAAATATCAGATTTTTCCTGATACTAAAAATTAATTTGAGCCTGAGAGGGTTAATAAGATATGTCTCATTTTAATGTCTTAATTTTTGTGTAGGTGCAGGAGGAGAGCGCAACACACATATCAGACGCAGCATTCAGTCTGTTTCTGTGCTTTGTCTTCATTTTTGTGAGCACAGATGTGTCATGTGTCCGAACTGTATATTACAGACCTATCCAGATCGTGACAAGGTGACTGAAAAAAAATCTCTTGCGACCCAGTCTTTGGGAAACAATGCTATAAACCACCCGTAATTGAATAAATGTAAGGTAGAGCTGTTTAATGTCATACTGTGGAACATTCTAAGCAAAGGAATGCAATATCCATAGTTCCAAGTTCCAGTGCACCTTTAAAGATAGTGGACTAGTATTTACTAATAATAAAAGGTGGGTACAATATCAAAATATCAATAATGTGAATAATAGTATTTTCATTTTGGCTTGTTAAACACTTGAAAAATGAAGAGTGCAAAACAATGAATCACTTATCACAAAAATTAAATCTGAGCACCGGGTACATCGATACAGAAAGAGCTGAACAAAATGAAAAATGTAATAAATGTATGTTGTAATCTTTCAAACAAGGTGTTGTAAAAAGACTTCTGTTGGATTGCCAAAATGATTTCTAATATAGTTTTATAGGGCCCATGTCTGGTTATGGCTGGAGATCAGGGGTAATAACAGCAGCAATCATCCCAATCATAGTGGTCCATGGAGGAGCCGGAAGGGGGATCCAAAGGGGGGCTCCAGACAGGACGACTATGGACTCTGGGCTGGCACTGGACAGGAAGAGGAAGTGGAGCAGAGGTTCAAAGGCTTACAGTAGCTGTAAAGTGCAGAAGGGACTGTGTCTGGGAGAAGGAAAGGAAATAAACTTGATGCTTACACTGACTTGACATTTAGAATAAACTATTTAAATGGTACAATATTTTTTATATCAAACCTCCCAAACATGACCTTAAAATATAGCTCTACTGATAACGTGATGGCAAAGTTGTTTACATTTTCCAAAATACACTTAGAAGTAGTCCAAATAAAATAAATGTAACTACACATTTAACGCCAAATTTTGCGGGTAAAAGTGGTACTTCACCCTGCATGTGCACCGTCCCTGGGCTGATAGTGTTTTGGTTCTCAAGATGATTATCAAATTAGAAAGCAGAATGAGACTCACATTTGACTTGCCAATTTCAACGCTTAAATCCACTTAGTTTAAACCATAAGACCCTCTCTGGTCTGTTTTCTCACCACCTAAACCCCAGCCTAATTCATCAGCTGGTTTCATTTGTGGAAACCATCTGACCTCACAGCATTAGGATTTATTCGCTCGATAGTAGGGTGGTACTTTTTGTTATTTAGCCAATCGCTGCTATTTGGTCCTGACATATGTAATGCGGCGCTAACGGGGCCAACTGGTATATTAAGCTTTTCTCAAATCCTGTAGGAAGAAGGACAATAACATCTTTCCCCCTTTCATCCTTGATCTCGGGAATCGTTGCCAACACAGAATGTATGTCTTCGTCTACATCCATCTGGACCGCTTTGTTTACTGTTGTGCTGTACCACAAAAGGGACCCAGACAAGCGCTTGTGTTTGACGTCATGGCTTCACTTCGCTGATTGGTCGGTGCATGGTCTACAACCTCCGGGGTTCTTGCAAACCGTCTAGTGTATTCCAATTCCTGACCAAGTCACTAGAGAGAAATGAAATTGAGCGGAGGCACTAAGTGACGCCAGCCTGGTTACCTAAACCCCAGCACCTACAGTCAATCATAAATCAGTGCTAGTGCAGCCTCTACAGCTCAGTGAGGGAATTCTGGAGGTTCTGAGCTTTGTAGTCTGTCCATATACAGAAAAACTTGTGAGCTCTACGGAGGTACTGGCACACTGGGTTCATTTCTGAATGTACTGTAAAATGCACATTGCCTCTCTGTGTTCTTACATAAATGAATGTAATGTAAAAAAAAAAAAAAAAACTGCAATAGAAAAGGCTATGTACCGTACCTTTAATTTAAAAGTTTTCATCCACTTTTAAAGATATAACGATGGCCAGAAAACACAAACAGAATGGACATAAGAAATCCAAAGTCAGTGTTAACTGAAATTGTCTCAGCTTTATTATTGATACAGTTATAAAGCATATTGCACAGGAAGTCCTGACCAACCATAACAGAAAGTAACCCAGCCAAAATAGACATACAAAATATATTAAAATAAAACAAAAGTCATGGAGACCTGCAAAACTGTAAAATCATTACTCTCAGCCACTTTGTTCATCACCTTTTCCCCTAAGTTTATATCAAAACCACAAAAGATAATCTCTATAAGCTTAGCCACAAATCGGGGCTTTCAACTGATACCAGTCTTAATATAACGCAACATGTCAAGTCAAAGACATCACCCAAAATATAGGCATTTTAACATACGCCTAAATACTTAAGGCCATATAGTCAAAGGGCTTCAGATACAGTTCATTCATTTAAACTGTAATAATTAAGCATCTCTACATTTAATTTTCAACATGAGTAAATCGCGGAGATTAGTCAGAGTTGTTAATTTTCTTATTTTTTACTCCATCACCCAAAACATTCAACAAAAAGGACTTCAAGGGGACACAAACATAGTCATTATAAGCATCAGTAGTTATGGTAATTTGATTGTTGGATTTGATCCAAGTTTTTGCGTTGCGAGATTAGCCAACGTATGAATGGTCCCATTGTCACCAGTCATGAGTAAATGAATATAATTACAATTAGACATTGTTGGGCCATATACATTTCACAAAGTAGTGTGAACTTGTGTCTTAAGGCTTGATAATGGCTTCAGTGCAGAGATCAGATGACTTGGATTAGTTTAATATCGTTTTACACTGCTTAATTGACATTTTGAACCTGAATACTACTTACATGATACACTACACTACAGCGGGGGTGGGTGATATGCAATAAAGACGTCTAAAGTCCCAAGATCATGATTTTGATTCACAAATAATTTTGTATTGTTACATAATTTACGTAATTGAGAAGTAACGCCAAGTAAGGCCATCAGTGAGTTCACGCTTCACTGTGATTTTAATTTGTTTAATCCACCTGTCACTCAGAGGCTGACCAATAGGAGGAGAGGATGGCGAGTAGGGGTGTGCAAAAATATTAAAATATCAATATACTGTATGGTTCAAAGTGATGATACTGTATCGATATATCACCAAGAGTATTTTTTGGTGTACTGACTCAATTATTTTGTTACAGCGCTAAAGTTTTGCTGCGTTTTTAAAAGGAAGGAAACTCGTTTATTTGACATTTTCACTGTTTTGATGATTAAAATGTTTGTGTTTCATATGAACTTTGCAAAAGAAGTGGTTTAACAAAGACTTTTAGTATGACAGACATGATTTAGACTTAATTTCTCATTGAACCATAGCGAAACGATTTGAAATATATCGTACTGAATCAAAAGCGTATCGAGATATGTATTGTATCGTGGTCCATGTATCGAGGTATGTATTGTATCGGCAGCTTCTTAAAAATACCCAGTCCTAATGGGGAGAGTGTCTACGTTTGAGCATAAAGCTGCATTATACAGAGAAGCAATGAATCACAATCAGGCGATATTGATATATTTGGATCATGATCATCACGATTAAATCTTCATAATCATATCACCCAGCTCTACATTAAAGTCAACTCATGAAACATGTACTTCCCAAAACAAATGTACTTGAGTAGATGTTCTTATTATAGGTATAGATATAGGCAAGGGTAGAAGCATGTAGTTGTAAAACAGGACTATCTCTTTCCAGTGCTTTTATACACACTAGTGTTGGATTTGTAAAACTGTATTTAACAGTGTATTAACTGAGTGTATTAACAGGAAAAAGCCCTTAATTGTACCATCTGTTATTGAAGCCTTAGAAACACTTATATAAATAGAACCCAATACAATGACGATAGGTAAACAAGGTCTATAAGATTGTCTTAATTATGCATATAAGTGAAGACCTCACGCAGTACAGAAGGTTAAAAGGGACATTTGCATTAGAACACCTTTCCACATTTGGCACTGAACAAATATGCAAAATAAATATGTGGCAATTGAATCACAATATTTAAAACTGGAAAGGCAATGTTTTTTTTTTCAAGGGGAAATAAAACATTTTTACAAATTCTGAATTCAGCACAACTCTTTTTAAAGGGAGGTAGGTGGATTTCTTTTATGGCATTACCTTGCAAAGTAGAGACACCATTTGAGAGTTGTTTGCTTAAATTAATGCTGGATGGTACTTTTCACAAGCGAGCGCCTCTGGTACCATTTCTTTCATTCAAAATAAGTTAGCCTCATTTGCCCCAAAACAATAACTTAGTAATATGTTAGCTAGCTTTATGTGGTTTTATGACCTACAGACCTAAACAATACAACTCTCCATGTGGTAAAATTCACATTGATTTTTAAGGGGAGATGTGAAAGACCTTTGGCTGGAGTCTGCGCCTCTTCCTGTGCTTACGATTGTAGTCTACGATTGCCATAGGCTGATTCGATTGTTAACGATGCCAGACAGAAGAGAAAATCGGTGATTATATTCTCACTGTTTCCAAGGATTCAGACATCCTTAAGTCGTGAGAAATGCTCCATGAAGTCACTTGCATTTGTTTTTGGTCAGTGGTTTGTAAGAGTTTGAAAACAGTGGGAGATACTGAGCGGATCCATTTCGGTCCAAACTCGTCCGAAACAGTCGCTATGGAAACCAGCTGATTGTAAAACACAGCGTCGTTCTGGTTCAGCCGTGAGACGAGAAGATGGGCCTGCTGATGTTACTGTTGGTCGTCATGGCAGCCAGCTCCCACCTGTACCAGGGCACAGAACATGACAATAAAAATATGTAAAAAATATATATATTTATACATATATGCATGTCACAGTGCGATATATACTGCAATATTTTGGAGAAGCTAATATAATGTAGATAGGACATATTTCTGCTTTTAAAATACCTTGACAAGATTTTGGTGTGAATTATTTTCCCAAGAATCTCAGTCCCAAGAATTCAAGTAAGAAACATATCTCTTCATGTTGTTTGCACTCAAATGAATCATGGGATATGTAGTTTGCTATGTTTATAAGCTACTATAAAACCATGCATTTAAGCAAAGGAACTTGCAATTCGATATATTGTGACAAACCACAATAATATTGTAAGACTTTTGATGATACGATATATCGATTAATTTTTACTTCCTTAGTAACATGTAATATTGTTTAGATTTTTTTGGAAAGCACTTGGTCAGCTAGGGGTTTGTAAAGCGCTCTAAAATAAATAAAGGCTAATAATGTACATAAACATATCCAAGAAAATCCAAATTATAAGCCATAAATATGTATAAATATATGTATGACTGATGCAAGAAGCTATAATGCACACTAAAACTATTGCTTTCGTTGAACTTTATCATTTAGTAGACTTGTTGGATGACTTTTTCTTTAGAAATTGCTTCAACAGGACCCAAGTGTTTCAAAAGACATTTAGACCTGCAATGGGTTAATATTGTTGTAAATTATTAAGCAGCAGGACTATAGCTATATAACACACTTATTTATATACTGTGATACCTGATGAGCAGAAAATTACAAAAAAAATTTAAAAATCTGATAAAATTCAGGTTTGTCAAATAATCAATTAATTACTGTATAAATTTTGTCCTGGATGCACTACACAAAATGTGGAGTAGAATAGATCAAATCTGGAGACTTTATGTGAGACACAATGTGAAAAGGTTGAATAAACACAACTGGCTCTGATGGATAGAAGTAACAAGTGCCAATACTGCTGTTGTTTTGAATGTCAAGCTCATTTGTGCTGCAGCGATACTCAATCAAGCTTTAGTGTCCCATTTGCCCCCTGTGTTTTAGCCGAGGCTGGTGGACTGGGGCAAGGGGGTAACAGGAGACACAGCAGCAGCGCTGGACAACTCCGTCCAACTCTGACCCACCCAAAGGTCAAAGGTCGAGAGGCAGATTGTTATCACTGGCTTCGGTTTCACGCTCATTCCCTCTCCGCGGCTTTGTTGGGTTTTTTGTTTTGGAGATTGGCACAGGGCTGTAGATGCCAGGAGAAAGGAGGGAGAGGGGAGTTAACCAGCCCCCCGTGACCCCAGCCCAGAGCCCCTTCAGATCGGGACAGCAGAGAGAAAACATCAGAAGTGCGGAGCGTGCAAGGTGGCAGTGATGGTGCACGAGGAATGAGGGGCACAGAGCAGTAATTAGGATTGAGTTTCAGAGTTTGAGCTGGAAACAGAGTAATTAACCCTTACATCTCACCGTACGTGTCTGCTCAGAACACACAGCTCACGTCTATTTTAAGGAAGATTAAATGACTTATTCTCTGCTAAAATATTCCATCCAGGTTTAAATGTTTATTTGATGTTAAAAATATCAGTATTGTATAAAATATTGCATAAACATTATCCATAAGATACGATTTTAGATTCTCTGTCTGAGCAAAACTGATACCTGAGCTGGATATTTGGGACAGATCGGAATACTGGGTTATGAAATACATATTATCTTTTATTTATTCATATACACAATATAATAGTTGGGTCAAACAAAGTTGTTGTCAGCTAAAACCAATGTGAGTTTGTGTCCTCATTTATGGCAGCGAAGAGGACCCTAGATTCTGTTGCAAATAGCATAAGTTTTTTTTTATTAGAAGAAGCTGAAGATATAGAAGGTGGTGGTGGCACTCCTGTGTTAAATTCTTGGACAAATACATTTTTTCACTGTCTTTTTAAGTAGCATTTGTGATGTGTGTTCAATCATGTGAAAGTGAATGGTGTAATATCTGTGAGTGTTTCCTGATTATCTGGCCAATGATGTTTCTTCTGTCAACTATAAACGTGGAAGAAGATGAATATCTCCAATTTAAAACATGGAGTATTTGGTCAATCAATAGATTTTTGTGCTCAGATAGAACCCCTATTAGTTACATGAAAGAGTAAGATACACAACAAGAACACCATTTTGAGTTTTGACATTTATCTTAACATCTCTGGATGCACTGTGTTCTTCTTTGTACACTGGATCCACCACTTGACGTCAGTAAATGCATTTTAGCCACAAAAGTGACACATGAATTATACAGAAATTATGTTATTACTATTTCAGTGTGGGCATTTTAGTGTCATCAGACAAAGGCTAAGTAAAACTCAATTAAAATGGACCAAATGAGTCATAAATGGGGCTCTAATGACTGTTGTATCTGAGTGAGTTCAGGTTGCAAAGTCAGAGTGGAGCCTGGAGGTACTGACCTGATGTCGTGTGGGAGGCCCGACTGCTCCAGACTGTACTGGATAACAGCTATTTTGCATAACGTCTTCAGATTAGGGCCTGGAACAGAGGGAGATAGAACAATAACTCATAAAGCAATCAGGGACCAATGGTACAAAGGAGCAGTGGGGATTCAACACCGACTTAGCTGCAGATCAGAGGAGGTTGATAAAAGCCTTTTATTAAAGCGAAAGTCCTATCCTGAACTCTGAAACAATATACAGATCGAGTGAAGCGATGTGCGACAGTGGCTCAGTGGTTAGAGTAATTGTCGACCAGCTCAAAGGTCAGGCTTTTGATTCCTGCTCAGACCACATTCTGTTGCTAATGGCATAGATTGGCTGTCAGTCTACCCCAGGGCAGCTGCGGCTACAGAACCAGCACCTAGTGTGTGGAGCAAATGAATAAAGTGTACGGCTTCGAGAGGCTTTGACAATATAACCAATAAAGTGCATTACAAGTGATGAACATTATTATTATTGAACTTAAATGTGTGTAAGTAAATGAGTTAGTAATTTTGTTGTCTGAAATGCGAATACGCAGTTAAAGCAATTTGTAATATATATAATTGAGGGGGTGTCTGATATTTTTATCTAGATGGTACTGATCTATCATTCACTTGCTGTTTTTAGCTGCAAACTAAACATAAAAAGTAGGGGCTTTATTTGTACATTTCATCTTGTTAACCAATGTGATTTTTGATTCAGCAAAATCAGATTCCTCTTTATAACTTTGTTCCAGATTTAGTGCCTCCTATTTCTGCCTCCATGTTTGTTGTAGGACCATATGTCCAGTGGTACAGTGCCAGGGCCTGTGTGTCCTGGTGAAGCCCACACACATGAAGCCTCCTGGTCCTCAGCAGCTTCAAACTGCCCCCTCTCCTCATCCGGAAGTGACTGCTTTTGGTCTGTCCCATCTACGGAAGTGCTCTAGGTCATTATAGGAGGCAGAGCTAAGAACCTATGCCAAAGATTTAAGGTTTTTGGAAGAGACATTTGTAACTAAATATTAAATAATGAAAGAATGATGAATGTTACAGATGTAATTACTATAATTAACATTTGGTGAGAGATTTATGAGGATATGCCAAGGCAATTTTCATTTTCCTGAAATTCAACTTTGCACATAGATTTTTATTATTGTTGACACAACAATTTAATAAAATCAAATAAAGAAATTGTATGACTTAATATTATGATTTGCCAAAGATTTACAGATGGCCTTCTAGAGGATCCTCTTCATTTATTTAAGCTTAGAACTAGTGGTTTGTTGTCCTCTCTGGTTGGATTTATTAATCATGTTGTATTTGTTTCACATGTATAAGCTTAAATTTTTAACAGATTAGATTTAATAATAAAAATGGTAAATTTACAGTACTCACTGAAGTCTAGTATATACAGGTCTGAGTGATCCATGAGGTTAAATTCGTCTCCCATTCCTTGCTCGGGACAGGGGCTGTGAAGAGAAAACATTGTATTTTAAACATTTATTTCAGCGTTAATAAAATGTTACAGCTAACAACCTTTCATAGCTGTAAAACTATAGCGGATCTTGTTTATAGACTTGCTTGTCTCTTTTGAGCATTGACAAGTTGCTTGCGCTGCTTCACCTTTTCCAATTTATTAGACAAGTGCATTGTTTCCAGTATTGATTTTAGTTTTTACACCATTCTCCACAGTTACTTAAACCTCAGAAGATGTTTCTTATCTTCACTCGTACCATACATCATTTATATTTTAGAAACATAATGACAGAACAGCTCTAAGTCTATCTGTTAGTCTAGTCTAGTTAACTCAGAACAGTGGGGATGTCTTGTATCAGAGTCATGATTTAAGCCTCAGGAAGCAGGCTGCAGAGGCATGTCCAGGTGGTGTGTGCTGATAAGTGTCTCTGGTGAAATCATGCACATCTGTTTCCTGCCTTGGTTCAAACATACACCTGTAACATACCTGCTGAAGGCTACTGGCTCACAACAATCAAAACCCAGAACATGCTACAAAGGTCTCCAGAAAGAATAGCTGATAACTAATGGACGTCAATTAAATACAATAAATCAATCACAATTAAACAATATTATGTGTGCACTGCATAATATGCAATCAAATGTGGAAACAACATTCAAAATGGCAATAAAAAGCTTAATGAAAAGTAGATATTGCTGAGGATGGGGCATGTGTGCTAAAGATGAATCAGAATCTATTCAAAATCGCAATTAGCATATCACAAGGGGTTGTTTTCTGACGCACAATAATTTTCCACCACAAATAACATAAAATAAAAATAAGATCTGGAATGTGATTCTTGTATTAGTTTGTGCCAGTTCACATTTCAGTTTTTTTGTCCGTTCTACTTAACTTTCTTCTGACAAGTTCTGCCATTACTCACACAAAATTAACTCACACACATCTTGCCAGAAAGTAAAATGTGGAAGACAGCTGTAAAGAACTTTCAAAAGTAACCCAAAGACACTTAATCTTTCAATAATAATGTCACTTCCATCATCCATCTCTGTCTATGTCCAGAGCACCTTCTTCATTGTCCCTTTCTCTGTGTGTGTGTCTGGGTGTTGTAAGGGTTTTACGTTGCTAATCTTCCCTAAACAAACAGCATGATGACTTGGATTGTCCAGCAGAGGAGCGGAGCACGAGCACTCAGGTCCCAGGGGTCCCATCTGTGGAAGTCATTACCCCCCAACACCCCACCCCCCAGGAGGTGCCCCATCCAGCTTTTATCAGCCAACACCATCATCACTGGACTGTCCACTGGCTTTATACCTGCTCCGCTTCACTGGCTGCAGGACAATAAAACCCAGTAAAACATTTCAGCTCTCAGACAAGGCTCATTTCAAAATCAAATCAATGCCAACTCATATTTAATTCAAGGTATTAAGTTTCATCTACGCATCAGAATGTCTTCAGGTATAAAGTGCCAAATGGTAACCAACGTTCATTGAGAAATGCACTTTGCTCAGGTCAGCTACATTATAACTGTCACATCAAACTATTTCCTATTTAAGCAAAGATAGCGACTGACAGAGCACTCGGTCAAATGTGTAAATGAAGACTTGAATTGATGTGGATAAACCAGATGATGGGTTTAAAATGCTGGGGCAAGTGCAGAATCAGATTCAGACGACTTAATTAATTCCAACCGGAGCAATTACAATGACAGAAAAAAAATAATGAAACTGTTATTAAATACAATTAACTTAAACTAAAGTTAGAGGAAACATAATCAGACTACTAAAAGGAAACAATGACTACTCCTGAGTATCATTAGGGCTGAGTATCATTAAGACAGGGGTGCCAAAAATTTTTCACTCAGCAGGCCACAATGAACATGTATTAAAAGGCCAGGGGCTAAATCTACTAATATTTTTCATGTAAAACGTGTCTGTAAATGTCTTTAATTGTTGTGCATTTTAGTGGATAGACTGGTATGGCCTCTTTTATGTAAATTCAATTAAAATTCAAAACTTAACACCTCCTCACTGGCCAAATTGGACCCTGTAGAGGGCCACTTTGGGCACCCCTGCATTAAGAAGTTGCCGATACGATGCATACCTCGATACATAGGCCATGATGCGACGCGCTTTTGATTTGATGCGATATATTTCAAATCGCTTCAATGCAGTTCAATAAAAATAAAGGCTAAGTCATGACTGTGATACTAAAAGCCTTTTGTTAAACCACTTCTTGTGCAAAGTTCATATGAAACACAAACATTTTAATCATCAAAACAGTGAAAATGTCAAACGTGCTGCTTAAACAAGTTTCCCTCCACTAAACAAGCAACAAAACTGTAGCTCTGTAACAAAATAATTTAGTAAAATATACCAAAAAAATCTCTTACAGCAGCCCACGATATTGATACTGTATTATCACATTAAACGATGTGATATACTGATATTTCGATATTTTTGCACACCCCAACTCCTGATCTAGCATGTTGTTATTTTCTAGTTAAATACAGTAGTGAATCTATACTATTATCAGACTGCCAATATCTGATGAGTGGTGCCCTAAACCAGTGCAATTTTGTGCTGCTCCCATGCCCAAATATATAAATGGCATAAAACTATTCCAAAGCAATAAGCGCATCACTGCACAAAAGACTTCATATATTTTCTATGGTGCACTTCAAGAAAAAAAATTCAACAAAGACCCACAATTGGCTATCTTAAACCCTCAATGCAAAACCAACTATTAACATAAAAGGCCATTCTGCCATTCTCTATCCACAGCTGTCTCCAGCTGCGTGCTATCTCTTTAAGCCCACCGTGTAATTCAGCCATTGTACAAGTTCACATTGGGAGAGCACTGCGTTTAGAGAAAGTGAACAGTGGAAGTGTGCTGATAAGACACTGCTTTAACAAGAAGAACGAGGCTGGCTCCCCTCCGGACTAGCTTTCTCGTGCACTGGTAGAATCCGTTAGCTTAGGTGTGAAATTCAGCAGAACATTAAACTGAACAGCTAAACAGTAATGCTTTATTGGTCCCCACAAAAAGGATAAGGGGTTGTAGAAATTGCAAAGGGGTAATGGAATGATGGCGTAGTTTTATGTGGCATCCTGGAGTTAGACTTTGTTACGCGATCAGCAAAGTATCTCAACAAAGTGTGAAAGTGCTCCTCCCCCTTACAACCCACTGAGGGATGTGACCCCCCTTTAAGAAAACAAATCCACTTTTTCAAACAACACTCATTGAGGAAGAATAATCACCTAATTGCCAAAGCTTTCCTGAAATGCACTGCCCACACTTCAGGTTTCAAAGTTTTCTTAGAGAAACTACTTAAGTCCTCATAAAGGGCATGGACAACCATGAAGCTCTGCTAACTGTCTTAGAATAATTGCCCAGTCTGCCAAGAGCTTAGGGATAACTCTAGCAGTATTAAATATACTTGAAAATCAAAAGTTTGCCAGTGATTCTTCTACTTTGTAAACATTAGAACAGCTGTAAATAGTTTATACTATAGTGTGTCTAGAGACTGCATTGCTTGTATCCTCATTCTTGAGATACACACTGCATCCTTTTTCCTCTCTGTGTCCTATTGAACTCCAGTCTCTCTGAAGCTCGTACCACAGGAACTCATCCTACACTACAACTTCCTGCTAAAGTCTTATCAGGACGACCAGGCGTGCATTAAATAATACAGCAGTTTTTTGTGGTGATGAAGAGAAACACACAAATGCTTGGAAAAGGTGCCAGAACATGGCTATTAAAGAAACTGTGATTCGGTGGCATATTTGCAGAGTCATCCCAGACTATTACTCATATAAATCACTTAAGTTTAAACATTTCATTGCAAACAATTATTGTGGTCATATATAAAATCTTATTATTTTTTTGTAAATGTTTTTTTTTTATTTCAGCAAAATGGGAAATTCTGCAGATACTTTTCAAAATTGCTAACAATTTTGTAGTGAGTTTTATTCAGATTCAGATTTTGTTTATTATCAGCAATACTGTTATATTACATGCACTATTGCAGACTAATGCCTATCATTGAACACATCTTTAGTCATTACTCCTACTTAGCATATGACGAACTGATAAAAATGTACCTGCGTTGTTATCACTGATAGATTCCCACCCCAAAGTTTGACCTAATCTTTGCCGTCTCAGCTACTACCTCGACTATCTGCACCTCCTCCTGGGCAGAGGCTGGACGGTGGATTAGACCTGCAGCAGCCCAGACCAAAGCCTCATCTTTAAGACCTTCTACGAGCTCCTGGAGACATACCTGTCTTCAGATTAGAGCCGTAGATGCCAGTCACTTCATAAAGACCTCTTCTCCAATTGCAGCATCACTCAATACATTTACTTGGCCAGTAAAAAAAATGTGTGTGTGTTTGTGTTTAATGCACAAAAGTGTCATGTATTTCAAAGAACTGTTATATTTAGAAGAAAATACAAAAAAAAAACAAAAAAAAAAAACAATAATTTCAATCTTTATCATTTTCTTTTTCATGTTTGTATTTTTGCCACAAAGTTTGCCCTTTTTAAAATTTTACTCAAAATTTGCACAGGTGTGAAATCCAAAAGAAATCAGATTATCAATATTTCAGTAATCTCCAGAAATCAGAAAATGATCAGATTTTTGATGTGCATGTAAACATAGCCACTGACAGAGACACAGTCAGGCCTTGAGACAGTTTTGAAAGCAATAACATTGCTTTTTATCAGGTGAGATTGAAGTAATATTAATAATACACCAGTGGCTATAAAGATGAGTCCGTATAGACCTTGGGAACAGCTGTTTGATGTACTGAGCTGTGAGGATCTAAAGGATTTGTGATATATGGCACTTCTTATAGTTTTAGTGACTTCCTTTTCTCACTTCAGCTGCAGTCTATAATGTCAAGGTCGGGTACATAAAGGGAGGCACAATACATAAAATTGTCAAGATATTATTTCTTTGGTTGTTTAGTTAAACCTATAAATTTTGCCTGCATG